ACAGTCGAATCTCGCCATGGAGATACCCGCGGTCGACGAGTGGGGGGACCATGAACGTGTAATAGAAGGCCCCCATCTCCAGTGTCCTCGCGTGTTCAGTGGCGAGATTTTCGATGAAATTGGTGACGATGTCCACTTGGAGATGTGCCCAATCGTCGGGCACCGCATCCCCCGTTTTCGTTGTCGGGGCAAATACCCTGTCAGGGTATTTGCCGGGGGGTTTTCAACATCGCACGTTGTGTGACCCTTTCGTTGAATTGAAGGAATTGATGAGACGACGTTGCTAAAAGTTTATTCTGACCTGTCCTATGACTCACATACTAAAAGTTTTTGAACGTTAGTCTGAACGCGTGTGCCGTCCAGGAGTAACGAATGTGTATGGTAATGCTTCACGTTTGTCGAAGCCGCCAGAAAATGCGGGCATAGGAACGGTAAAACTATACCTATTCTACAAAAAATAATGTTAGCAGCCGCACGATTCAGGGCCTGAATGGGCTAAAAAGGGAGGATGCGCCAGGTATAGGGCGCGACGCAGAAGGAATGGGGAGTTTTTTTGTCGCGGAGCGTGACATCGAGCCACGGGGCTGATAGGCCAATGTCACGCGGCCTGCCAACGGGGTAAGGCCTGCCAGCTAGGCCTTCAAGGCCACGGGCGGGCAGGCGCGGCCTGCTGCTCCACAGGCAGGCAGGCACGACCTACCGGACCACAGGCAAGCACGGCCTGCAAGGCCATGATATGGGGGACAGGGACAGGGCTGAAGCTCTTCATATAGAAGAGCTGCTCCTATCACTGTTGTGATAGGAGCTAGCCCCGGAGGTTATAGTGCCCGACTACTACCCAACGGATACCAGGATCGAATCTGCGAGAATGTAACTACCGGGCTAGCTCCTTTTGGAGCAGCCCGTTCATGAGGCAAACGAGCCCAACCGATTTCGGTCGCATGATCATCAAGATCATGCGGCGGAAATCCGCCGCGCCGAAGTGTGCATGGCCCCTGCGATTTCAAGGATGGCACGCATAAATCGAGAGATGGTCCAAAAAAAAAAAAATTCTTTCGCACAAGGCAGGGTTCGAACTCGAGCCTGCGTTTTGGAGGACGTGGCTGAAAAGCCACGTGAATTCGAACGTTGGCATAAGCCAACAGATTTAGAGAGAAAAACAAAAGGGAGAAAAAAGAAAAACTAAAAACAAAAACGAACAGCGCCATGTGGCGCTTTCTAAAGTGACTGGGGCAGAGCCCCAGTACACCAAACAGTCGCCCGTGAAAACGCGCGACCGTTTTTTTTTTAGAGAAAAAAAACTTAGATTTTGTTTAGATTTTTTTTTTCTTCGTTTTTAGTTTTTCTTTTTTCTCTAAAAAAACTTAGATTTCTGGTTGAGTACCCGTTCGTTAAAAACGAACGGATGGGAAAAAAAAAAAAAAAAAAAAAAAAAGTTCTAACGTGAAGCGCCAGTTGGCGCGATCAGACAGATGGGGACATACAGTCCCCATGGATTGTGACAGGTGCCCGTTTTTACGGGCTGCCATTTTCTTTGGTTGCTTTTTTTTCTTTTCCTTCCCTTTTTATTCTTTAGATTTTTTGTTAGATTTGTTTTATAGATATTTCTTTATTAGAAAATTAATAAGTGCCCGTTCGTTTTGACGAACGGGTTGCTTCTCCCTTTGATGGGAGGAGCAAAGTCGAAGGAATCTGCCACGGAATGCGGCCACATCCGGGCACAGGTTTTGGGACCTTGTACCTCAGTTACGAGGGACTCTCTGCATGCGCTTTGGGTGGTTCCCCCTTCGCAGCGGACAGCCGCGATCGTCGAGAGAGAAAGAGGGGTCATGGGTCGTGCGCCTGTATCGGGTGCTTATGCGGCCCAGATACGGGCGCAGGCTGGGGGGAAACAAACCCCTGTTGAGCTTGACTCTAGTTTAGGTCTGCGCAGTGACTGTGGGGCTGGCCGTTTGGGCTACCTACGCAGAGAAACGAGGGGGAAGGTAGGTAAGAAAGAGAAGAAGAAAAAAAAACGGCCACGTACGTGGCCAAGAGCTCAGGGAAGATACAGGCGGTAGAGAGAAGAAGTAGGGGGGAGAAAAAGAAGAGAAGGGGAAGACGGCCGCGAATATGGTCGTGACCGTGGGACAGGTGCAGCCCCCAGAAGCTTCTAGGGGCTGATGGGACTGCGCCTGTTCAGTTGAACAGGCAGTCCTGGAATGGCTGGATACAGCCCCTTCCAGGAGCATCAGGCTTGGAAAAGCAGCCAGGTACCCCTGGGGGTTGATGACCCTGGTTCCCCTAGGGGAAAACCGAGGCACATGGCTCCTGGCCATTGATTTCGATCAAGGGTCAGGAGCACTGACGAATTTTGCCTGGCTGTGGGCAAAGCAGCTGCCCACAGCCATTTGTTGGCTATAAAAGTCAGCACTCCACCCAACAGCATCACACTTGTGGCAGTGTTGCTGGGGCATTCACTTGGGTGAATGCTGGCTGGCTGCTACATGTTGTTGGAGAAGGGCGGTGCTGAGGTGGAGAGTGGAGGTCTGCAGGTTGGAGGAGAGGCTGCCATAGCCGCCGTGCTGCGGGGTGCCAGCAGGAGGTGTTTTCGTTTGTGGCAGGGTTATTCGACAAGCGGTGCAGGGGAAACTCTGCCCGTTTTGCACGGCGGCGGTAGTGTATTTTTGCCAGTGGCGCGGAAGCGCTGGCGAAACTTTGCGGCGGCTGCACAGGTCCTAACGGCGGTAGTGGGGAAGCGCTGCCGGACTTTGCGGCAGTGGCATTGGGTTTACGGCGGTGGCGCGGAAGCGCTGCCGGACTTTTGCGGCAGTCGCATTGGGTTTACAGTGGTGGCGCGGAAGCGCTCCCGGATTTTTGCGGTGGCAATACTGATTTTAACAGCAGTGGTGCGGAAGTGCTGCCATTTGTTTTGGCACGGCGGCAGCGACGTTGTCAGTGGGGAAGTGCTACCATTTTTTTTGTTTGGTGGTGGCAACATTTTTGGTGAATTGGGCTGCTGGGATTGACGGTGGTGTCGATGTTATTTTTTTTTATACTGGCAGCGCGTCGGAACACTATTGTGAGGGAAGATTGATGCGGTTTTTGCGTCAGTGGAGACAATTTTGTGTATGATCTGACGCTGGTATTGCGGGGCAGCCATGGTACCGGGTTGACGGCGCAACAAGCAGTAGTCCGCATATTTTTTTTATGGTGCACGGGTGTTAAGGTGAATTTCAGTGTGGCCTAGAGGTTGGGCTGACGCTGGTGTGTAGTTGGGACCATGTGGTAGCGGTGTGTGAACCGGTGACATGAGGAGGACGCGGAGTGAGTGCTCGCTGCAGTGACTATTGGAGTTGCAGCGCTTGCGGTTTGCGCCAGAAGGACATCCTTATTTTTGGGAGGCTTGCGGCACATACAGTTTCAACCAGGACCACCTTTATTTTTTTGGCGGCGCACAACGCAAGCAAAATTTGAGAGTGGGACCATCCAGTGCTGTGGCGGTAACGTGGGACCGTCTGGGACCATTTTGGGACTAGGTGGGACTGATTTTGAAGGCCGGAACGAACATATTGGGGTGGCTATTATGAGCGTACATGGTACCTGGAGAAGGCGTGGACTTGCGATTGGTTGAGAGTATCCTTGGTAAGGGAAGTACGGTTGGAATTGTTGGGACCACGTGGGACTTATTGTTGGGAACTCCCTCCTAGAGGGTTATCTCACTTGAGTCTTTCAGTGGAGGTGACTTTCGCTCATACGAGCACTTGGAGGGTGAGGTGACCGTCGTTAAGTGGAACGACCACGAGTTGTGGAGTTATGAGTTGTATATTTTCAGCTTCAACGGCGATCGTCTTCCCACCTTTGACTGGAATACTACTCGGCTTTCTTGAGTGAGCCGGATCAAACTTCACTCACGGTCAGTTGAATGACTCAGACTACCCTTCACCCTTGCGTGAACCCACACTTTGCTTGACCCTATTCGTTTTGAATACTCAAAAAAAAAGGCAGAGGAAAGTTGTGTGAGTCATGCATGAGAATGAAAAAGTCTGACTTGAGTGTGGGATTGTACTATTTTTCTTTTGAACTTGTTTCCTTTGCATATTGTGCAGGTAGGTAGCAGGATGATTGGTATGGAGATTGACATTGGCTATTTGGGATGGAGAAAAGGATTGTCATGTTTCTGTTTTTCACTTGCCCGCATGACAAAAGTACTTGAATTCGAAAATGAGTAATCCCAATGGGTGCCATAAAAGAAAACTTGTGAATAAAAGGAAAATGCGGTCAATTGGACTTAGCATTTTTCCAGGATTGACACATTTTATCCGGAATGACCTTTTATATCTATACCTGCCTAAATGATTCTCATTCTCTATCTCATTCAGTTTCCTTACGTCTAAGTTACCGGGAACCGAGAAGGAATCAGAATAATTGAATACTTCTTGAGGTGAACGCATTCTCTTTTCTCTAGGAAGCATCCAAGGCGGGGGTTCGTATGCTTTCGGAGCCGGCCCTGTTATCGACTTGGAGTGGACCCGACTTGTCGGGGGTGGTACTTTGCCGACTCGGTGGTGACGGCCCAACCTCTGAGATCTGGGTCTTCAGACTCGGGCGAGGGGAAGGAGTATCCACAGACCATTTCCTAGAGGAAGAGGCATGCGACACGTCAAGCAATGCCCCTGATCAAGAATCATCCACGAAGCAACCTGTCATCCAGTCCCGTTCTCCTCGCCGCTCCCAGCACATGATCGCCTGCCCCCTTACGATCTCCCTCCATGCCAACACCACCGTCATCTCTCTCTCTCTCTCTCTCTCTCTCTCTCTCTCTCTCTCTCTCTCTCTCTCTCTCTCCCCAGGATGCCGACCCTCGCACGAGCACCTCAAAGATCTATCACTCGCCTCCCGTCATCACTACGGAGCATGCGCGCACTGCGGAACACATCGGTCCTCTGCACATCTGCGGGCATATATAGCGACGGCCCGACGAGAACAGTCCCGCACAACAGCTGATAGCGACATCCACTTCAAGTCGCTTCGATTTGTTTTGATTTTTTTTTTTTTTTTTTTTTTTTTTTTTTCCGTCATGGACCAAGGGATCACATTCGCCGACCCCTGGGCCGAATGGGGAGTCCGATCTGGCCCACATGCCGACACCACAGATCGAAAACTCATAAACCCTTGCTCAACCCATGTACGAGCACGACCGTGTCGACGCCTCCGACGGCTCCGCTCAAGGGGGGTTCCCCCCCTCCCCCTCCTGCGATCTCGCGCCTCCTCCCTAGGCCCTGCCCGCCATCACTCCCACCAACATTTCCAAAGCGGAGTTTCCCTGCTGCATAGCCCCGGCGACGTGACCAATCTCCGTCGCCACGTCACCGATCCGGGCAGCGAGCATAGCAGCACCTTCGGCAGATGCTCGAGCCAGCGTCGAGGCGACCCTGTCCAAACCATCGCAAACTGAACGGGTCGATTCCTCCATCGTTGTAACCAAACCTGGAGACGAAGGTGCGGGATCTCCGCCACGACTCTTGCCAGACGATGTCCTACGGGTCTTCGTTGCACTGTCCGAAGCATCCGTCCCTATTCCCTCCGACCAACCGTCGTTGCCCGCCGTACACCCGCCCCCTTTCACATCCTTGCTGGCCATGGTGTTGTCCATGGAGAATGCGGCCTTCGTACGGTACCACTCCATGGCATCCCACAACGCCCTCTCGAAAGTCATGTTGATGCCCAACTTCTTCCTTTCCTTAGTCGTAAACCCCCAATACGTCGGTTTGCCAGATCTGTCGCAGGCATCTCTGATCTCCTTCACTTTCTTTGTCAGCTCAACCCATTTCTTCCGACAATCTTCCCCAGAACGTGTGTAACCCTCTTCTTTCATACGGTCCGCTATCCAGTCGTACCGCCTGCTTTTGGTCATGTTACAGTGGGCACCTTCAGCATCGGCCATGAGAGCGTCATCCTCGCTGCTTACTTTCGCCAACAACACTCGCTCCTCCAACGTCCATATGCTGTTCTTCTTTGGTTGCGGCGATGGCTTTGGGGCCTTTCTCTTCTCACCACCACCGCCCATGCCTTGGGACGCTGTTGTTCTACCTTCGCCACCTATCGTCAACACAGATCGTGGCCTTTCAACTTCGTCCACGACGTGCTCCGCCATCCCCGATGGTTGCTGCTGCTCTTCTGCACTCCCCATGCCGGCACCACGTGATGGCCCTCCCGCAGCCCGGGTACCCGATGCACCCGTTGCAATCTGCTGCGCCCTCGCCTGTCCGGGACTGTTGTCTTCACCCATTGTTGCTGTGCGTCTGTTCACCGGCAGAGATAGTGGCGGTAGACCTTGCAGACGATGTTGCGACGACTGCGACGACTGAACAGAATGCTCGGGGACACAACCCCATCTGGGGGAGTCGGTCCTCGGAGGTACTGCCCGCATACGAGGCTGCTGCGTACATTGGCCATACACCCCACTAGAACCTTGATGCATACCGTAGTTGGACATTGTAGTCGGGTACGCACCCCGACCTCCACATCCATATACATCCTGCACTGCCATGGCGAGAGAGGGTCGGCCGTTCGAACCGTGCACACCGCCGTGTGTTGGAGGCAAGAAGGTGGAAGGATGGTCGTCCATGTACTGCCACGATTGTGCAGATAGACTCGCCCTATACCCATCGCCCTCTAACTGCGTCCCGATCACTTCCCCAATGTCCATGTTCGGCTGTTCTCCGACATCTCCGCACCACTCCGATGTGAACGTCCGGCCCTCCATACGTGCCGGTGCACCACCCGCACCTCGCATCACCGATCGCCTACGGAGATCACGGACGTCTCGTAAACAGGGCTACAAGAAGTGCGGCTGCACACACGACCAGCACCGCGAGCACAACCAACAGCACCGCCACTCCCACAACGAAGGCCCACACAACGACTCCTGTGGCACACGGGCACCGACACTCCCCACCGAAAAAGATGACAATAGTCACGTTGCCGCCCTCGCGCACTTCATGAACACATGCGGAAGCTCGCGACGGGTATGGCACTGCCGCCACCTTCACGCACTACTCTCCCTCGTTCCTTCCACAAGTCCCTCCGTTCTGATCTTGTGTGGGACTGCCACCAATGGTCACCCGTGGAACAACTCAGGGAACTGCAGGAACGATCATGATGTCGGTGTGTGCGTGCGACTACGTTCTCCAAGCACCCGGTATGGAGGAACTACGGGAAGCACGCAGGACGGAGGACACATCTCCCGCGGGGGTGTGAGAATACTGCCGTGGAACGAGGTCAAAGTGACATCGCCCTGCCGTGCGTTGTCCTCGCCGAGCAGCAGAGGGGACGGACGTCGCCTCCGACGGTCTCCCGATGTGCATGAACCGGCGGGCCAGACCACGCGCGTGGTCGCGAACGAGCGACCACGCCTCATCACGACGATGGAGCTACGCAGCTCTGTGCATGGGAAAGTTGGTGTATTGGGGAAGGGCGGATATGGTTGGCTGTTTTGTGATGGCAATGATGACGTCGTATGTCGTGCATGCAGCTGCGCTACGTGACTGGCCGTCGTCACGAGGAGTTTCAGCGTTGAGCAGGTGAAGCACACCGGCTACAAGATGACGAGAACGGCACTGGGGCCTGCCACAGGAATTCGAAATTCGAATTTCGAAAATCGGGCAGGCCGTCCCGCGCTCGCCGTTGCCTCCGGTTGGGGACCACCACACAGAACCCATTACCGACGCCCTGTCAGCCTCTGACCTTGGTGAGTGGGCGACACGGGCCGGCCGACCGTGCTGGTTCCAGGACCACGAGTCGGACAAACGAAAGTCCGGCACCCGTCCGCAACCTTGGAAACATCACCGACGTCGCCCCCTACCACCCTTGCTACCCTGCACAATTTCGCGGCGGAAATCGCTCCCGCGGGACTTTTCCAGCCCGGAAACCATGTGGAAACGCCAATCCCCGGTTTTCCACACCGGCGATATCGGCCTGTGGGGTCCCGGAAAACCATTCCGCGGAAAAACAACGGGCCTTCCAGGCATTCCGCAGAGGGCTGTGGGGTCCCGGAAAAGTTCTGCAGCAAAACTTTTCCGAAGCGCAAACGTGTGGGGTCCAGGCCTATATTATTCTATGGCATGTGGGCCAAGGCCCCGGCTGTTTGGGCCTCACTCCACTACTGTCTGCTGTACAAATACGGACAGTCGGACGTTGGTCCTCTTACTGTCCGCTGTGTATATGTGCAAAATGGCTCAGACAGTGGTCAGAAACCTCGTGGAAAATGGACCCGTGGAAAATCTACTGTCCGTGAATGTACAGCTCCCAGCCTGCAAAATTCGTTACGCGGAAGGTCCTCCAAGAGACTCACTGTGAGGACCCGAATTTGGAGAGTGCACCTGGGGTCTGGGCGGACAAAAGCCTATGGATGCCCTGTGTTGTAGTTCTATCACTGTGTCTGATAGTGAGCTCACGAATTTGAGAGGTGTACAGCGGACAGTAAGTGGAGCGATGCCGCGTTTCCCCGGATTTTGAACTCTCTGACTGCTGTCCGCGAACTGTCCACAAATTCGTACAGCTGACAGTAGTGGAGCGAGGCCCTTTTTCTTTTCTGGTCCGGTAGCCCCGAGCCTCCGAACTTTTCGGGATGAGCCGATTTGGATTGTCAAGTTCGCCTGGGGCATCTACTGGTGGTTTGGGCTACGGACTGATGCTGCACTGCACTAGAATAAAACCGCAGCCCTGCGAATATCAGGCATGCAGCGTCTATTCGAATATTCGGCACACGACTTCTGTACGAACAACAGGGTGTGACTTTGAGGAACAAACTGGAAGAAGAGACGACCAAGACGGACAAGGCGTTCAAAGCGCTAAGCAGGTGGCCGATGTGCAACCTCGGAGGTTGTCGGAGGCTGTCGGAATGAGAACGGAGTTGTGCAGTTGAACGGCTGTTTCGGCCAGATTTGATCATGCATCCATCCGATCTCTGCCCGCCAACTACGCACTGCCAATCAAATCCGGTTGTGCGACATGACGTTCACCCGGCGCCCATCGCCGCACAACTGAGCGAACGGAAAACGGTAAGCTTTTAGCGCCATTGATCATGAGCGACGTTTCAGGGAAGACTCGCGCCATTCGCCATTGAGCGCGAAGGACGAAGTGCGACGAATTTGGAGTGTGCGGAGGGGGTAACGTAACAGAAACAAACCGTGCGGAGACTGTCCGGCGGGAGTGGCATCGCGGCGGGGAAGAGGGGCCGAACGACCGCGGAGACAGTCCGTCCGGCGGGAGGAAGGTTTGACGAGCGCCGTGGGGGTTTTGGCGGGGAAGGGTTTCGTTGAACATTGGTCGTGGGGGCGCGCGAGGTAGAGAGGGGGAGGGGTACAGTAGAGGCCGCCGAGGCCTGAGTGTCGTCGGGTGTCCGATTTGATGGCTAACGATTTTCGGAACTTGATCGAAGGGCAGAGCTTGTTACCTACCTGCAGGGTGGAATCGGATGTGTGACTTGCGGTGTCAAGCTGCCATTGCTGAGAAAGAGACGCGCAGGTCAGTTGCGCCGAGCTGTGTTCCGCGCGGGTGATTTGATTCTTGTCGCAGCGCGACGAATTATCATTGGCCCAGTCACACAGGGGTGTTTACGTGGCAGGCCACGTGTCATATCATCTGGTTGCTGAGAGCTCGTGATGGAGTTACTGCACGCCATCTGGGATCACCAACCAGCTGGGAGTTTCTTCCTTGCCGCCCTGGGGAGGCGTCGATGGGTGGATATAAATTTTAATCACTCTCCTGCAGTGGCGTGACGAGTGACGTGGCAAGGACGAAGCGAAGTGGTGTGATGTGGCATGACGTGGGTAGCCTGACGAAGCGAAGTGGTGTGAGGTGGCATGACGTGGGTAGCCTGCGCGGCCTGCGATGACGCGGCTTCCTGCTCGATCGAGTATGTGTACTTGGTGGTGATCGACTTCGTCATTGCCCGCAACTGAAGCTGTGTGGCGCTGCCGCTCTTTCGAAGCAGTCAGGCGGGTATACACACCCACGGTAGTGTTCCGTTGTCGCTTCTTTCGAAGCAGTCTTTGTTTCGGCGGTTCGCAGACGCGAGAGGAGACCACAAAAGCTAATTATAATTATTGTTCTCCCATCTGAGTGTGCGTGACCGCGATCGCGCGCGCGCGCGTGTGCATGCGTGTGCACGTGGGCGTTCATGTGAGAGAGACCGTGTGTGCGCGCGCGCGCGCGCGCGCGTGTGTGTGTGTGTGTGTGTGTGTGTGTGTGTGTGTGTGTGAGAGAGAGAGAGAGAGAGAGAGAGAGAGAGAGAG